ACAGGTGTGCACAATGCATGATTATGTTCCTGATAAGACTTACTTATAACCCACTGATCGTTTGTATTTGTTGTTGTAACTACGACTCTAGCCTTACATCTTGTTCTTGTGACAGGCGTATGAGTACGTTGACGATTAACAGTATTCACTTTTGATGCTCGAAACCCTTCTTTGGAACAACAAAATTCTTGTGTCTTCACATTCCCTTCCACGTCAAGTCGTGTTGTTCCCTTACGTGCACTAAACCCAAGTTTCTGTACGAATCTCTTGTAAAAGTACCAAGCTTGATCACGTGAACAGAAGAGCTGACCAATCAATCTGTCAGATTCATCAACATTATGTACTTCATGGCATTCCTCGGTTGGCTTAACATTGTCTGCATTAGTATGATCCATGGCAAAAATTTTGTTGTGCAAGTTCAGTGATCCCGGAGTTGATGGAGATGTAAGCAAAGGTTCATTGAACATGTTTCAGTCGTGTTGCTCTCAATAGGATGTGGTATTAGTAGTGGTAGTTAAAGGGTGGGTACAACATTAAATTCGCAGTACATATTTAGGTATGTACAATAACTACCTAAATATGTGTCGATACATTTTATACAAGTATCGACCCCAAAAAACATCAAAACCAATAATTATAATGTAATAGGTAAATTAACAATGTAACTGGTATAAATATATCGGTTAATTAGAAAATAGGTCAACATAATGTATCGACACTTGTGTAATTTGTGTCGATACTTATTGTCCAGGATGAATGCACAAACGAGGTGCACGCATAAAGTGTCGATACATTTATTAAAAGTATCGATCCCAAAAATATCGAAACCGATAATTATAATGTATTAGGTAAATTTACAATGTAACCAATATAAATATACCCATTTTATGATAAAATAGGTCAGCATAAAGTATCGACACTTGCTAAATTTGTATCGATACTTTTGGTCCAGAATGAATACCAAAAAGGGTGCAACCATAAAGTGTCGATACATTTATAAAAAGTATCGATCCCGAAAACATCGAAACCCATAAGTATAATGTAATAGGTAAATTTTCAATGTAACCGGTATATATACCGGTTTTATGAGAGAATAGGTCTAAATAATGTATCGACACGTTGTTAGTTTGTGTCGATACTTTTTTCTAGAATGAAATATGAATGCTCAACCATGTGCAAGCATAAAGTGTCAATACATTTAAAATTGTATCGATCTAAAAAACATCGTAACCGATAATAATAATGTAATAGGTAAATTTGCAATGTTACCGGTATAAATATAACAGTTTACTTCGAAAATAGGTCAATATAAGCGCTACCTATTACATTATATAACTACGTAATATGTTATTGTACTTGATAATATTTCCGGTTAAATGTCTATTTTATTATATAAGCGCTACCTATTACATTATATAAGCGCTACCTAAAATGTTATTATACTTGATAATATTTCCGGTTAAATAATATAACATTACCGGTCACTTATTTAACCGGTCACGCCATTTTTAACCGTTTTTAACCGCCGCACAGCAGAACTACCCGACTTTTACTCTGTCTCGCCATTTATTTCTTTCCCATTCTTCTCTCATTCTACATTTATTCCAACCCAAATATACAGCAAAACAAGTAAGGCCAAAGGAGGAAGAAAGAAAACTGATTCACCAGCGATTAAGAGAGAATTTGATATGGATAACTTTGATCTTCGGGATCCATTGACGAGGATAGAAGAACAACAATCCGATACAATTTTAGTCCTCTTCTCTTCAGAATCTGATCACATGCCTTCTCACAGCTACTTTCAATGTTTAAAGACCAGTGGCTGCCATGTTTCTTTCCGACAGGAAGCGATTTCTCTCATTTTGCAGGTATCGCATACTGTTTTTTATTCTTTTTTCATATTTTTTTAAGAATGTTGTTTATTGTTCTCGTCTTTTATCTTCTGGCATTTTGTTGTAAACTTGTTCTAGTTTGTCAGGGGCAGTATTCTTGTAACCTTGATATCTACACGCAATACCTGGCGATTAACTACATGGATCGGTTCATCTCTTGGCAAGAAATCCCCGTATATCTTAATATTATAATCTTTTTATCTTTATAGTTAATAAATTGTGAACCAAACTTTAGATAGATTAATGAAGACTGAAGAGTTTATTGAAAAACACAGAAAATCCTTGAAATAAGATGCAGAGTTCTTATTTGTTTTTTTTTTCTTGGTTATCAAATACAGGCTTCGTTGATGCATTGTAAGAACAACTTATGCTAACATTAATGCAAATCGTGTTGAACTTTGCAGCAAAGTAATCCATGGGTTGTGAGGCTCCTTGTGATAGCTTGCATTTCTTTGGCTGCGAAGATGAAGGAAATTCATTTCTCTTTCTCTGATTTCCAGGTAAACAGTACATTCATGTTTCTTCTATTGTTTAGCCTCATGCATGAAGACTAATAAACAGATGAAACAGAGAGAAGAAAGATTCAAATTCGACCCCCCCAGTTATCCAACGAATGGAGCTTCTGGTTCTCGATGCCTTGAAATGGCGAATGAGATCAATAACACCCTTCTCCTTTGTCACTTTCTTCGTATCTTTGTTCGACCCAAAAGATCCGCCTTTAACACAAACATTAAAAGACAAAGCAACAAATATAATCTTCCAAGCTCGTAATGGTAATTAAACAGAACGTAGAAATCATTTCTGTTAATGTCTTTTTCATGACAAAAAGCTTAAACGTGAGCAAAATTTGTCTTCTGAATATGTTAACAAAGTAAGCGAGCAAGCTAGTACGTCAAATTATATTGTCTCAAAGCATAAAATTTGTTTCGTTTCATGTTAGTTAAGATTAATGAATGACTTCAACGATGAGGTTTGACAGGAAATGATGCTGAAATGCTTTAATGTGATGCAAGAGATGGTGAATAACGAAGTGAGCGAATCAATGGTAGATGTGGTGTCAAGCTCAAGCACAAGAACCCCAATAAGTGTATTGGACTGCCACTGCAACAAATCAGAAAGCGAGAGTACCAACAGCACCATGGCAGCCACCGTAACGCCCGAGCGTCGCGAACTGAATGGTTTTTGCAGCTAAAGTAATACTAAAATGAAGATGTTCAGCTAGAGAAAAAAAAAAGGCCATGAATGGCACACTAAGCCCCTTATTTTCTTGCCCTTTTCTTTGACCACTAAATTTTTTGAAAAGAAAATAAAAAAGGGGAGATGAGAGAAATTAGACAATCTAATCCATTTTGTTTGATGGGTTTATCATTTGTTTAATTAATTAATTATTTTACATTTAACCGGGTGACATGCCAGCTGTTGGAGAAGGGACATGAAGGACAAAACAATGCCTCAAAATGTTAAAATAGTACAAATTGCTTTTGTGTTGATGTTGTGTTGTTTTGTAGTAGACAGGGAATAGAGCAATGCCTCCTTCAGTAAGATCTTTTCTTAATATATATATATATATATAAAGGTTTTCTTGAAAAAGAAGAAATGGAGTTTTCATTTCTCATGTCAAACTATAGAACACGATAATAAATTGGTTTAAAAAAAAACAAGGAGAATGAAGATTGGCGGGAAAGAAGCAAAGGCAAACACAACGTTCAAGACACGTTGCTGTCTTAAAAGATTGTGGTATATTTGTCGAGAAACTACACAGTTTATGTGCTTGAAAGCAACCAGGGCGCAGGTGGGAGCAAGAAAATAACCGTCTTATCTTCGTGGGTTGTTGAGGTATTGAGAGGGGGCAAGACGTAAATAGTGGTTGAAATTTTTGTTTTGTTTTAAAGCACAGGAACCAATCAGATTAAACTTGTTTGTCAACTGGGGAAGATGTTTGTGTAAGAGTTGAATTACCCGCAGCAGTAGCACTGCAAGTTTTGCTATTAATTGGTAGATTTGGATCATTGGGCAAAGGTTGATATGGTCCTGAATGAAGCTTTGGGGCCACATTCTGGAGGTAAAAGATATGAATATTTTGTTTTCTAAGAGAGAGAAAAGAAAAACATCTTCGGGACCATTTTAGATGGTCCAAGGATCAAGGCCCAAATTGCATTTACTGTATAAACGACGCTCTGGGAATACTAAATCTATAGATTACCAGTTAATTGTCATAATATCCAACTCTTCATCCTTATAATAGTTGTTCTTCAATGTCTATACTTCACGTCTTTTAATAAAGTTGCACCATGAACTCAATGACAATTAAATAATTTCAACCAATAAATTATAATAAAATCCGGACTGAATGACAATTAAATTTGGGATCAATATACAATTATCAAAGAAAAATGGGAATAGCCGCAGAAATTTGGAATTCGTTGTTTTGGAAGCATTGATTAGTGAGAGATCAACTTGGGCAATGGATATTATCAGGAAAGGTTCACAGTTGGCATGGAATTCTGCTTCAAACGGTTTCTCAAGCGTGTATGCCAGTGATTTGGAATCTTTATATCGGAGGCAACGTGGATGCCATCGCTGGCCATCTCTAAATTTATCAAATTTTTTTTCCGGGACTCAAGATCCAAGAATAAGCTAGTTTCCATTACAAGAAGATGGTCAAATCCTTTCACGATCATACAATATCTCGAGTACAAAGTTGCCAGATTTCATCAAACAAACTGAATTAATTAGAAATAAGAACTACCGATCAAAAAGCTGAATTTGAACCCCCTCCTCCCAAAACCAGCAGGATTTGCAGTAATCATATGTTACGTAATTCAAAATTCTACAGCTTTATATCACTTAAATACATCACATGCACTTTCTTTGCCTTATTCATGTTTCATGACACATTATAGTACTTTACCTTATTCAGGTTTCAAGGCACGTTATGGTTTAATGGAAATTCTAATATAGTCATTTCTTTCAGTCTCATTATATCCTTTCTTTACCTTAATATGTTTCAGGACACGTTATGGTATATTGGAAATTCTATTCTAGTCTTATTTCTCAGTCTCGTTATAGCTCTTTGAAAAGGATTTCATTTCCTAAATACTTATGTAAACAAATATATTTCCGACGTATTCTTTAAAATAAAGATAATACACAATTCAGAGAGAAGCATCTAATCAATCGAGGTAAAGATGAATGAGAAGCATTGCCTCAAGATCCATCTGAGAAAACTAAAAAATAATAATCTAACGTTGGATTGGATGTCCTAAAAACTCCTAAAAAATAATAATCTAACGTTGGATTGGATGTCCTAAAAACTCCTCCAAACTGCTACAACTTCTATGCACATGGAAGCTCCGTTATGCTTCTCAAATAAAACAGACCACCGTTCTTGCAGGATTCGATGATCCAATCCAAAAAAAAGCTCTGCTCTCTATTCTGCTTGTTTAACATCCCTCCATCAAAGAATGAATTGTATTGTCGGGGAAGTTTGTAATTCACTGTTGTAGCCAATATTGAACTACATCTTCCAAGTAAAGCTTCTCATGTTCAAGCATTATCATTTCCATTTAAACTACTTTGAGGCTCAGATGCCTTAATTGACATAAGAGGAGGAGGGTGTAGCTCAAAGAGCGGTTTGCTGCCTTCGGCATTGCTTCCTATGCATATATCACCACGACCGTGCCATGTACCATCTTGGACATTGTTCATCTCCAATGTTCTAGATTCCTGAAGTAAAAAAACTATTTATCAATCTTCAGGAATGTGTTGGATTTTAAGAACTTAAATTTGAACCACATTTGATTTTCTCACTGGTTGACAGAGTCTTGTTGCATATTTGGATTATGGAGTTGATAAATTCTAAAAAACAGTTTGGCAAGGATAAGAACCTGGGATAGTGTACAGCAAGGGCAGATAAGATGGTAGAAGCAATCATCCAACAAGCTCTCATCTCCCTGCAAAAAAAAACATAATTCCCAATCGAATCAAGAGTGTTGGATGCTGGTAAAATAAAAATGTAAATAACTATAAGAAGTCTAAGAGCAACATCAACATAGAAGAAAGATCAGGAATATCACATCGGTCAAACATGTAGTTGAAATTCAAAATAGCTATAGTCTTATCCAGAAAGTATCAATAAAACAGCATCACTTAAAATTGGCAACATAAGCTGACGTTTAACAGAACAATACACAATTATCAAGCTTTAAATTCCTATATGCAAAAGAAGGGAAGTTTAATGCACCGAAAATGCTGTAATCACAGGAATAAAGAAAATTGACTGGGCATGCCTTCGGTTCTTCATAAAAGGCATGCTGTGGCCCGAAGAGTTTCAAGTGTTCAATTTTTGAACTCAGTGCGTGGGTGCATTGTTAAACATAGATGAACTATTTGTGTTTTGGCAGTCAACATCAAAGCAACATTGACCTTGAAACTGATGTCAGTCCACAAGAACAATAACATCCTGGTCAACAAATTCAATTGGGAATATGATAATTACCAAGCAGAAAGAAGTAGGATATGATCACTTATTATTAGACCCCTAGAGTTGGAAAAAGCGAAGGCATGCCCAGAAATAAAAAGTTCTCACCCTAATATTGAACTTTCTTTTTATCCGTGCACGGAAGAAACCCAGATATGCTCCAACAGACACGATGAAAGCAACACCCAAATACAGAAACCAATTCCGCTTGGTGGCGATGAAGGCAACAAAGTTGAGAATAGCAGTGGCTGCGAGGATGAAATAAACAGTTCCCTGCAAAAGCAAATTAAGAATATTCAGAAAATGTTGAAATACAGCATCGCTGATCGATGGCAATAAACTCTGAAGTGCATAAACTAGAATACATATAATCCTCAAACTTGCATATCATAATACAGCCATGGAAAAATATATCTGGGAATTGCCCATTTCCAGGAATGGGGTTTTGAGTTATAAGAATGTAGAAATATGGAATTTTTTACCTGAAGAAAACAAAACCCGAAACCAGCCCGTCGCATGTTCTTCCCAAATCTGTAGCAGGGGCAGCTGCAATATCAAAACAAATTATTGCACAAACATAAATATAAGCACTTGTATTATCAGTTTCATGACATCAAAACAAGAGCTACAAAAACATAAACATAATCGTTTTTAAACTAATCAAAATGATTAAACGATTTTTCTATTGCCTCTAAAACTATTTTACAGAAGAAGAAAACACCCAAGCTGCAAACATACATACACACATTTAAAAAAATGGGTCGGTAAAAGGAGCGGGTTCGTCTTTAATTAGTTTCATTCTTAACACCAACATTAAAAAAAATGTAAAAATTATTTCTTTTTGACGTATTTTGACAGCTTTCGAAATATCGGTATTAAAGACAGAAGAAATAATAAAGCAATCAATTTTAGTACTCCTATATATGATTTTTTTAAATAACTCCCAAATCCAGTTAGAGAGAACTAACCAGGCAGATTCGAGAGCAAGACGGCGGTCATCCAAGAAATCAAGAACAACTTCACCTTCCCACATCCTGAAAACGCCACCGAAATCGCCGCTTCCTTGTTCTAAAGGATCCTCGGCGCTTTCAAGTTTCCTCCATTTTCCCTGGGTTTGCGAAGCCACCGTCGAACATAGCATGTCGAAATCCAACACCGCCATTCCTTCGAGCAGCATCTCTTCCTCTTCGTCCTCCTTTTTGCCTCCATTTACATCAACTTTATCTTGCTTCTCTACTTCCGCCATTGCGAAATTTGACACCTTAAAGCCTTAACCCCTCTTCCCCCCCCCCCTTTTTTTCTCTCTCTGTGAAAGGGAAAAAAAGATGTGCCTTTTAAAATTGCGTATCGTTCCTCTCTTGGTTTTAATTCTTCAACAATTAATTATATATTTTGGGTTGGCGGGTATGATTAATGGAGCGTGGGACCCCAGAGGAGGCGCATAATTGAAGATAAAGCCATTGCCACGTAGGGTCGTCTGGATTGTAGGGATTAAGATTGTAATCTGGTAATAATTGCCTCCATTAACCATTCTTATTTGGATATTCTTATCTAACTAACGTCACTAGTTTTCCTACCAAAATTAACCATCAATTTCCTTTATAATTCCTTTTAACCTCGAGTTTGTAATTTTAATAATTACTATTTTGTTAATCTATTTAATTTATAAGATTTAATTTTAATAATGACTATCCAGCTCAGTTAGTAGACCACAAGATTTTTAATTTTGATGTCGTGAGATCGAGTTTCATAGAGGGTATTTCATAATTTGGAGGTCTCCTATGGAAGCTGTTCTTAACCTAGTGTTGGGGGCAGCCTACTATCTTACCTCCCCTTACCCTATTACATATGAGAACAAAGGACAACCAATGTTTTATGTTTGTGCATCTTCGAATTAAGAATTTTCTCACACACACACACACATATATATATATATATATATATATATATATATATGATGTATTTTTATATGAAATAGATACGATCAAACATGTTTGGATGATTTTAAAAAAAATATTTTGAATATTTATTAATAAATAACACATCATATCTTTACAGAGATTCTTACTTAATATCGTACCATGTTTGATATTAGATTTATTTTTCTCATCATATTTTTATTCTTAATTAGTTTAAATTTTGAGTTAATTAATTAAATTAAATTAACTACTAATAATATTAAAATAAGATTTAGTGTGCTTAAGGTTAATATTATTATATTTTAAAATTTTAAGACTTATGATTTAGACAATGATTTATTAAATATTTTGGTATAATAGTATTTTAGGCGCATTTTAATTTATATATTAATTAAGTAAAAACCCTTTCAGTTTTTGGATAAATATTTAATAAATCCTTGTTCCTTTCAATGTTAGATCCTAACTCTTTTCTTCGATTTAGGGTATTTAGTTGTATTTGTTGTTTATTAATGAAAATTAATTTAATATTGGCTGATGAAGCTATGGGTAAATATAAGCAATTATGGATGCCTATTGTTTAAGGTTATCGTAACCTAAGATAGACTCATTAAAGTATATATATTGTACAACGATTCGATATTTAACTTGTGCCAAAAACTCTTCCTTTTTCCTATTCCTTTTATGGGTAATTAGAGTGTGTTTGGTTGGGGATTGTGAGATTCCCATGAGAATGGAATTCATATTCCCTTGTTTGGTTGCCTGGGAATGTCATTCCCGGTAATCTTATATTATCAATAGTGGATTTTTTAAGGTATATTACCGGGAATGTCATTACCTCCCTTTCCTTAGGTATTGTTGGATTACCGACATTTTGGACTAAAATGCCCTTAATTTTTTTCTTTTAAAAAATATTATTATTCTGTCATTGAATAATAAAAATTCTACGAAGGATAAATTACAAATTTATTGTAACACCCCAACCTGTATCCGACCCGAATACCAGTCTGAGATGTCACATTGACTTTTCAAAACCTTTTTCTTACAAAATATCAAAACATTTGAACTCATTTTAAGAAAATACGATCATATATTATTGAATTGTGTTTGTTATAAAACTTTGAGGCAAAAATGTATTTATAAACAGTAAAATACGGTATGAACAGTAATGTGAACAATACATGCTACAGTACCCGAACGGTGCCATGAACAGTGAAAATTTCGAATATAAATCATGCAACGATGCACTGATACAGTGCATCGATGCACTCCTACATTACTGCTACAGTAACTTCGTAAAATACGTATAAATTAATAAAATCCAAGGTTTCATCCGTATAAAATTTTCATTTTTACATATACATATTTAAAACATTACAAAATTCAATCATATGATTTTACAAAATCGATTAAAACATATCGGATTCAAATATTTTATATTATTACATGCCAACTAAATTCTTTCTAACAAAATACATGTAATTCGATTTACATTTCTGATCTGATCTTAGATAAGGAGAACTGACATGTCTTGTTCCTCTTTACTTCTCTTTTCACTTTCCAGCCCTACGTATGAAACAATCACACGCTAAGTCGATGACTTAGTGAGGCATATAAAACATATAATAAAAATCATAAAACATCTCACATAACGGAATACATACATGTACATATGCCAGCATTATCATAATCTCTATCATATTCATACACTATTATCATTCGTATTTCTTATCTCTTGTTCATATAATCTCTTATGCTCTTATCATATATATTATGTCTCATTCTTATAACATATACAATGACTCATAACACACATATGCCATTCCATACAATTCATATCATATAGAAACCTATATCATCATATAATTCTTGTAACATTTCCTATCATCAAAGGCATATACATCGTATATATTATATTTAATCTCTTTATTAGCCCATGTACACTGTTGAGAATTGAAGGTATGTGAGTACACTGAGGTTGTGCACAAATACTGTCACCACAGCTCGTATAAATTGCACCGAAGTGTCACGTAGAATTTGTCCCGAAGGACCGCAAAGAAATGCACCGAAGTGCCACGTAGAATTGCACCGTAGTGCCATATAATATGTTCCTAAGGACCACATAGAAATTCCTTAAGAAACATATACATATACCAAGGATCAAGTATGTGTCTCAAAAGACCTCATACATGTTCCAAAGAATACATATATGTCTCGAATGACCACGTAGAATTTGTCCCGAAGGACCGTGTAGACCCTCTACTCTTGGCATGCCAACTATACCTCTAGATCTCATGACACATAACATGGGCATTATCTTTCATATTCATTACATATTCATATCGGCACATAGTTCACTTACACGTAGAACATTTTCATATGATTCATATTCACATGTCACATAGCTTATACCTTGTTTTTATGTCTTTTCATAGACATATATTCTTTCTCATTTAGTCACATAGATCCATATCATATAACATATATCACATGTGCATGTAATCATATAAATCTTATCACATAACTTATATTATTTTTCATGTGTTCATGTAAACATGCATGTCATATTTTGTTCACATATGTTCATATATACTTCATATAATCCTTTCCTATAGTTCATATTTTATTTTCACATATGGCATATCACATAAATCACATAGCACATATAAGCACATATCAATTCATTTAATCAAGTATACATACATTTCATGTCATTCACATCCTTATAATCAATACTCCATACACTATATCTATTGGAAATAGACTTATCACAAGTCCAAATCCTTATAATCCTATAAACTAAAATGCACTCATAAGAATCATATCAATCATATAACATTTTAAAAGCCACTTTTTACCATAGTAACTCCGTCACTGGCTCATCGCAAGCTAATGTTTTTCGATCGCATAAGTACAATTAAATTACACTCACCTTTGCCTTGCTTTGATTATTCCGAAACTTGTTTAGGCTCAATATCTACATAAACATAATTTTCGAGATGAATTTCAGAAGCCTAAACCTTATAATTCAATACTAATAACTTGAGCTAATTTAATAAACCCAAAATTCAGTTTTCCTTTAGGGGTGTATCGATGCACTATGGGTGCATCGGTACACAGAATAGCTTCGAAATTCCCATGCATCGATGCACCCCTTAATGCATCGATGCATATTCAAAAATTGTCTTAGTGCATCGGTACACACTCATAGTGCATCGATGCACCTGCCCAGAAAATCACAGTTCACGCACAAAAATTCACTATATCAACTTAAATTCTTCATGTTTCATTCTCTTTCATATTCTTAACTCAAATATACATACTTAAACTAATTTATATCCATTTATTTCATCTTAAACCTCAAAATTCTATTCTCCATATAAAAATCAATAATCATACCAAATTTTTCATGTTATCCAAACTTAATTCTAACACTTCTAACTTCTTATTCTCATAGATGACAAGTCAAATTCATCCTCCAAATTCATTTAAATCTTTATATTCAAAATTCATTTAAATATTCATATTCAAAATTTCACTTCAAAACCCATTTTCTTTAATCTGTCATAATTCCTTTATCTTTTGATTTTAAGATAACCTAAGCTTTCCTTAAGCTTAGTTATCATCTAATGATCAAAACCCACTCTTGAATTTTAAAGATTAACCAGAAAAATCAAACTCACCTTGGCTTGGGTTTCACGTTGGAGAGGAAGAAGATGAAGAGAGAAGAGGCAAGAGCAATTTGGAAACTTAATTTCCCAAATTATGATTCACATGGGTTTATAAAATACCCACTATCATCATTTTATTCCTTTATTTGTTCAATGACCCTTTTGCCCTTTGACTCTTTCAATAATTACCAATAACCCTTCAGATATTATTTTCAAATAAATCATTGAACTTTTCAACTTTTCCACTTTAATCACCAAATTCTAAAATTTTATAATTTAATCACTAACTCATAGTTTGATATGCTACATTTATCTTTAAACTATTTTAAATTTACAAAAAAAAAGTATATAATTAAAATTTTATATGAAGTTTAGGGGTTAAAATAAAATTTTTACCATTTCATTAAACCTTTTTATATTTTCAATTTTGTAAAAAAAATTATATAAATTTTATGCATTTAAATTTTTTAAAGAAAATATATAAATATTTTTCAACTTGTTAAAAAACAAATATATAATAAGGACAATTTGGTCAAATATACATTCAAATAATCTTTTATTTCTTTAACCAAACACGGTAATCTTACATTCCTGCTAAACTAACCAAACATAAAATACAACATTCTCAGTAATCATATTCCCTAGTAATCTTTTATTCCCACTGGTAATCTTACATTCCGTGAACCACACGCACCCTTAATATAATG